TTCTAATGTGCTCATGCTAATGCTATAATTGGATAATTAGAAATGATAATGGGTATGTACTTATTACCTCGTAGTCTTGGTTTGTATTACTTTGTATAAATTGCTCAATTTGTTCAATTGATTTGATGGACCACTCTTTTTCATTTTGTCTATCATTTCAGACATCTGTGGTAGGTAACTCTGTAACTCCTCTAGCTTCTCAGTGATAGCAGCTACATCATCAACAGAGGTTATGTCTTTACTAGTCTGATTTATTCCAGTTGAAGCACTGGGAAGTGTAGAGCTCTGAGTTGTGTTCTATTTTAAAATGTACAATAAATCAATCTGTGACTGTAAAATTGTATTAGTAAATAAAGAAAGGCCATACACACTATAGGTGTTTCATTGGCCTCGCCCAGCTTTGCATAGGCGAGGACTAGGTACTCAGTTTGTCTGTCTGTCATTCATTCATTCTGTGTGCTATATTTTGCCTTTGAGAATGTATATCTTTATAATCGCGTGCTCTAAATCTGTGAGAGCTTCTCTTCTGTTAGGAAAAGTCTTGCTTTACTGCTTTGAGATGTTTAGAGCAGCTCTAGCTAGTAGAAGCTTTTTATCTCACGAGAAAATGCCCAGCAATAGCTGTAGTACTCTGGAGGTAAATGAGATTCTTTTCCAGTAGATCCAGTCTAGTTATTGTTTAATATTTGTGGGACTCTTTAAATCTTTCTTGCTGGTGAGTTATAGCTTCTTGAATTTCAACCCGAGTGAACTGTAGGTAGTCTAAAGGTCCTAAACTCTCTCAAATCACTCAGTTTACATCTAGGCAACAGTATTTGTGCCATTATAATGTCATATAGCGCTTATAACAAGAGAAAAATCTGAAACTTCCTACTTGTTTCCATCTAATAATTAATTAATTGTTGATGATGTAATGCCACACCACCAATTTGGGAGTAGCTGGATTACCGTAGTTTGCATGCTGCTACTTCTGCAGGTAGTCTGGTAGATCTATGCAAGCTAGCTGCTATCCCTCAGGAGTACACTTTTTTTATGTATATATGCAATTTGCATGCTAAAGTTCTTTTAATTTTGATAATTAAACAGCTATAGGGGTGAGGCCACGCACCATAGGTGTCTCGTTTTTACTTGCATTTGGCTCTGATAAGAGGTATACATTCATGTAATTTTTCAAATGAATCAATGTACACAACATACATGTATATACTTTGTAATAGGTAATAAAATGAAAACTCATAGTACATGTGAGGAATTGAGACTCTACTGTGATCATTATTGCTTATTATTTATTAAATTATTGTTCTCATTATGTATGCACACATGCGCACTAGTTTTGAATTATTATTATTAAGAGTTGATTGAACTGAAACCAGTGAATGGACCGGAATGGACAGATCCAGGGCGCTCTTGCTATCCTATTAAAGAACCAGCAGAAGGAATCGGGACAATTGGTCCAAGCGAGCCGGATAGGATTCAAGCGACCTAAGGATCTGGAGACTCGAGTCAAGTTAGCAGACGGAGCTCTCATAGGAAGTAGCCACGAGCAGCTGTAAAGACGGGCGCCATTTTATAGCGAGGCTACCAGGCAGAAAGGTTCACAGAAGAGCCAGTAGTAGTGAGAGTTATTGTTTTATCATTATAATTATAGTTGAGAGTGGTGATTTATCTTTGTGAGCTATAGTAATAATAATATTTGACACGTGTCACGATGGCCATGGCTCAAGCGTTAGCGGCGAAGAGGCGTGTGAGAGGCGGACACAAGGCAGTGATCACCAGGAAACTAGAAGAAGTTAAGCGAATCACAGAAGCTGATGAACCAGACCTGGTGAAGGCCGAGCAGTTATGCCGATCTCTCAAGGATAAACTAGACACCATTAAAGATTCAGATGAACAAATTTTTGTGGCTATAGAGGATGAGACTGAGTTGGAGACTGCTATGATCAATGCAGATGAAACAACATCTCTGATCTATGAAGCTCTCGTAGGACTAGACAATATACTGGCTACCAGCGGAAGTACTACTGGTGGAATAGAGGAGGGTGGAGCCCGAGCGTCTGGCCCATCCCGCTCATGCAGAGCGCGTCTACCTGAGCTTAATTTGAAGCAGTTTAATGGTGAGCTGACTCAGTGGTTACCATTTTGGGATACTTATCATGCAGCAGTTCATGATAACTCTGATTTATCTGACATTGATAAATTCACATATCTCACAACACTGCTAAGAGGATCAGCAAGGGATGCCATCAAGGGCTTGACCTTAACCTCTGCAAACTACAAGGAAGCAGTGGAGATACTGACAAAGAGATTTGGTGATCATCAGCAAATCAAGGGGAAGCATATGGAAGCCTTGTTGGCCATGGAGCCAGCCCAGAACAACACTCAGTCCCTTCGAAGACTCTTCGATGAGGTTGAATCTCATGTCAGACAATTGAAGGCACTAGGAGTCAGCGAAGAAGCTTATGACACTCTGCTGCCTTCAGTACTGATGAATAAATTGCCAAGTGATATGAAGCTATTGATTACCAGAGGAGTGTCTCAGAAAGATTGGGGTTTGACAAAAATCTTGAGTACTTTTGAAGAGGAATTAAAGGCTAGAGAGAGAACCTCAGCAAAAGGCAAGCCTGCTAAAGAAGTTCCTCCTTCATCTTCTGCATTCATGACAGGTAATCGACATTGTTGTTATTGTCAACTTAATCATTTGCCTGAACTATGCAAGAAGGTATCCCGAGTTGATGGTAGGAGACGAATACTGAAGGAGGCAGGAAGATGCTTTATTTGCCTAAGGACTGGCCACATTAGCAGAAATTGTCGAAGCAGTGTGCGGTGCAGTAAATGCAAAGGTCGACATCACCTCAGTATTTGTAGTAAGGAGGGAGATGAAGAGGGCACAGGAGATAACCAACAAGAGGCAGGTGAGCAGAGTCTTAACCCTCGAGCCCCTGCCTTTGAGAGTAAGTCAACTAAGTCCCTTCTTGTGGACTCGGATCAAACAGTATTACTCCAAACTGCCAGAGCCACTTGCTTCAATCCCGACAAGCCACATATTCAACTTGGATTACGGTTTCTTTTGGATAGTGGTAGCCAGCGGTCCTTTATAACCAAACGGGCCAAGGACAAGTTACGCCTTAGAACTACTGATCAAAAGATGATGTCCATTATAACATTTGGAGCCACTGTTACACGAAGCCAGAAATGTGATATTGTCAAGTTGGGTGTACAAACCATGGAAGGGAGTTTGGAAGTGATGCTCTTTAGTGTGCCTAGCATTTGTGAACCACTGAGTGGATCCTCCATACAGTTATGCTTGGAGAATTACAAGCACCTACAAGGTTTAGAACTGGAAGATGTATCCAATCTTGAAGGAATGGTGGAACCTGATGTTTTAATTGGATCTGATTGTTATTGGGAATTTGTATCAGGTGAAATTATAAAGGGGATGAGAGGACCAACGGCCTCTCACACTAAATTAGGTTGGGTATTGTCTGGCCCATTGGAGGGAGATGAGAATGGACAGTGTTCATCTATGCTCATCACACACAACTTGATTACAAGTGCTGAGCCTAAGGACAGTACGAGCTTGGAAAAGCTACTGAAGGGGTTCTGGGAGCTAGAATCATTGGGGATCCTTGAGAAGGAAAACCTCATCTATGATCAACTGAGAAGCAACATATCGTTTCATGAGGGACACTACCAAGTATGTCTCCCCTGGAGAGACTCAGTGTCTCACTTACCTGATAACTTGAGGCTCTGTGAGAAGAGACTCAGAAGTCTTGTTCGCCGACTGAAACAGAGTCCTGATCTATTGAAAGACTATAATGCTGTGATTAAGGATCAGTTGGCAAGGGGAATAGTGGAAACTGTAGAAAATCCCAGTGTAGTGGATGGGGAGAAGGTCCATTATCTTCCCCATCATGCTGTAGTGCGCAGGGATAAGACAACCACAAAGGTGAGAGTGGTTTTTGATGCTTCAGCTAGGAGCAATGGACCCTCACTCAATAACTGCCTACACGTTGGACCGAGATTTAACCAAATGATTTTGGGTATTTTACTGAGGTTCAGATTCCATAGGCACGCCTTCACTGCCGATATAGAGAAGGCCTTTTTGATGGTCTCAGTGGCAAGGAAGGACAGAGACGTGCTCCGCTTTCTCTGGATTAGGAATCCTGATGAAGAACCACCAGTTACCCAAGTTTTGAGATACGCTAGAGTGGTCTTTGGGGTCAATTCAAGTCCATTTTTATTGAATGCGACCATAAGACACCATGTAGAGCACTACAGGGACTCAGATCCACTTGTGGTAAAATCTTTACTTGAGTCCATTTATGTTGATGATATTATTGGGGGGGCAGATACAGAAGAGGGTGTATGGAAATTGTATTGTGATTATAAAAGAATTTTGAGTGAAGGAGGGTTTAATTTGCGTAAGTACATCGCAAGCGGAAGTGTTATTGATACTGGTGTAATTGATGAATCGTATGCGAAATTTTCTCTGGGCAATTCCCCAGAACGTTTGACTGAGCAGAAGGTCCTTGGAATCAGATGGAAGGTTGAAGATGCCCTTGTCTGACATCAGGGAAGTAGGTGAACTAGCAAATGTGACTGGACCAACAAAGAGGAATGTTGTTCAAGCAGTGGGTCGAATTTATGATCCTCTAGGAATACTTACACCTATTACCATACGTCTTAAGATCTTTCTCCAGGAGCTTCACAAGTCAAGGATAGGGTGGGATCAACAGCTGACTGGAGACTTGCTAGACAGGTGGATGGAAAATACTAGTTAGTGAATTGAGAAGATCCAACCCCATTGAAATACCAAGATACTATTTTAAGGGATCTGGGGGGGAATGTGCTATAAAGTTATATCAATTATGCGGATTTTGTGATGCATCTGCGAAGGCATACGCAGCGGTAGTCTATTTGTTGACTATGACTGATACAGGTACCAGGTGCATCCTGATGTCATCGAAGACAAGAGTTGCTCCAACTTCACAGCAGACAATTCCGAGGTTGGAACTATTATCAGCATTGTTACTTGCAAGATTGATGGCCAGCATCAGCAAAAATCTTGAGAAAACTCTAGAGAAACCAATCTGTTACATGGACTCTAAGGTGGCACTTTACTGGATACTGGGACTGAATAAGGATTGGAGGCCATTTGTGCAGCATCACGTTGAGAAAATTAGGAGGTTAATTCCATCAACATGTTGGAGGCACTGCCCAGGCATGGTCAACCCTGCTGACTTACCTTCTAGGGGTCTCAAACCAGATGAGCTGGAGAAGAACAAGGATTGGTTCAAGGGACCTGACTGGTTAACTACAGATCTGAATGGTGAGAAGGCGAGTTTTGAGGATATGCCAAGTGAATGTATACAAGAGCTGAGAGCTTGTGAGAAGAAAACACTTGGAATGATAGTAGCAGCTAGTGGATTGTCTCAAATTATAAACATACAGAAGTATAGCTGCTTGGGAAGGGTGTTGCGTGTCACGTGCCACATGTTAACGTTCATTGCAAGGCTAAGGCGAATGACTGCATCCACTGTAATGCTACAAGCAGAGGTCTTGTGGCTACGTGAAGTACAATCATCATTTCAGACTGAGAGAAAGTTTTCAGACTGGAAGGTGCAACTTGGACTGTTTTCAGACCAGAATGGACTTTGGAGATGCAGGGGAAGAATTCAAAACGCGAATGCGCGATACGAAATAAAGCATCCAATATTGCTACCTGCGGGAAACTATTTTACGTTGCTTGTGATACGGGAAGCACATGAGATAGTCTTCCACAGTGGGGTCAAACAGACACTCACTGAGCTCAGATCTAAATACTGGATTGTTCGAGGGAGGTCAGTAGTCAAGAAGATGATTTACAGATGTGTTACTTGTCGCAGATTTGAAGCAAGGCCTTATAAGGCCCCAGATCCACCTCCACTGCCTCGCATCCGAGTTGAGGAAGCACCACCATTTACATACACAGGGGTGGACTTTGCAGGTCCCATCTACACGAAGGATGGGACTGGTAAAGTGTGGGTTACTTTGTACACTTGTTGTGTAACACGATGCATACATCTCGATCTTGTTGTTAATTTGTTTGCTAGTTCTTTTATTAGGTCACTCAAGAGGTTCACCTCCAGGAGAGGAATACCACACAAGTTCATTTCGGATAATGGAAAGACGTTCAAGGCTACAGCTAAGAAGATCAAGAAGATCATGAACCATCCTGAGGCGATTGATTACGTTAATGAATCCAAAACCGAGTGGCTGTTCAACATTGAAAGAGCTCCCTG